CGCAGATATAAAATGTAGATTTGGAATCAGCTCGTCAAGATGCACCTAATAATATGCAGCTCATACTGATTCGCCATTAAAGTTGGGATCGTTCCCTGTTGAGAGGTAGAGACACTTTTGCCTTTAACATATAAAATTTTCAGCTGTCCAGTGGTGAATTGTTAACAGTCATAGACGCTCATTATCAAGCTATGACAAGGATTGCTTTGTCAGCGGATGAAAGTGTGCTTTTTACAGCATCAGTTGATGGTGCTATAAATTGTTACCTGGTTTCTGAGTAGGTTTCCATTATCCATGAACTTACGAGTAATTTCTATTTGCTCTTTTTTTGCGTTTGATTGAAGTTTTTTAGCATACTTTCGCAAGATCGCGACCGCACAGTTGCACCTTTGCGAAGCTGGCGAGCTCATACCTTGTCTGTCAAAGGTCTATCTGTCAGCTGTGGATCAAATCCACGTGTTGCTAGTTGTGGCCTTGATCATCTTGCTTTGGTGCACTCAGTCTCGCTTGATGACGTTCTGTTGAAAGTGAGTTTCCTTGGCGCCGGGTGGAAATCTGATCCCAAACTACACGTTCAGGTATCTGCCGATCGGCCTCTTACTGCTTGTGTACTGGATGCAGCTGAGTCGAGATTATTCTTAGGTTCGGACACTGGAAATATAGCTCAAATAAACTTATATGCACTGGTAAGCTAAAGATTTCTCATTTTGGTCATGTATGTTTCCTAACTTTCTACATTTTCCTTTTTTTGATTTTTCCTTTTGAAACCCATTTTGAAATTTATGATCTAATCATGTTCGAGTAAATCTAAGAACATTTTTTCGTCACTTTTTTGCTTTATGACTGTTGTTTTTGTTCGGTTCGTCCTTCCGTTGCCTAGTCAGAAATCTTTGTGAGAGCAGCGGAAGCTTTCTAGTTATGACGAGTAAAATAGTAACTGAAGAAGCAATCATGTAATTCAATGCGAATTTATTGGTTTTCCTTGTAAGCAGCATTAACTTTTTGATCTTTTAGGACGACCGGCGTGAAATTTTGATACAAGTAGCAGACGAGAAAAATGAAAGAGTGCCGGTTTTCAATGGCCATTGCGATGAAATCACAACCTTATGTGTCAACGCTGATGGTTCGCTATTAGCTTCTGGCGATAGCGCGGGGAAATACTGCATATGGGAGATCTCTAGTCGGCAGTGCCTGAAGGTACGCTTATATTTTCATTTGCCATTAAAGGCAGTGTCCGGGCAAAAACTCGATTTTGAG